TGCATGCCACCTCTGAGACGGAGCACCAGGTGCAGGGTGGACTCCTTCTGGATGTTGTAGTCAGACAGGGTGCGCCCATCTTCCAGCTGCTTCCCAGCAAAGATCAGCCTCTGCTGATCGGGAGGGATGCCCTCCTTGTCTTGGATCTTTGCCTTGACATTCTCGATGGTGTCGCTGGGCTCGACCTCGAGGGTGATGGTCTTGCCCGTCAGGGTCTTCACAAAGATCTGCATTGTCTGTTGCAACAGAAAAAAGAACCACCAAGAGAATTTAGCAGACAATTCACTAACATTCCTAACATTGACAGTTAAATGTCATTTTACATTGACCCAAATATTCAAAGTAAAAAACTTGCCTAAGAAATTTCACCCAACACGCAGGTCAGACCCGACTACTTGAGGGGCAAAGCTCAGAAACCTGACTAAAGTACACTCAGGGGCCCCACTTACCCTATCCCCGCCTCACCGGCTGTCCGGCCCCTGTCAACTGAGGTCTACTCCAGGCCCAACCCTGTGTCCTGCGACTGAGAAAAACCTCCCACGAGCAAACCGGCAGGTGGCCCCACCCTGCATTATGAGCCCACATAGGAGGTGATGTCACGTGACTGACGTGGCGAGCTGCGGCGCCCCCCCCCCCCGTCCCCGAGCAGCACCGCCATCGTTGCCGCCCCATCGACAAAAAAGGAACCGAGTTTTTCAGTCAAGCGGCAGAAACGAACGCTTCACGTCAGAGTCCCCAACAGTCCCCGACCCCTGTCCAACAAAACTCCGCCACCTCCCGCCCTCGTTAAGGCCTCGCGGCCCTTCCGTGATTTTCTCCCACCCCCATCTCCCCATCCCCCCATCCCAGTCGCTCCAAGCGCTCAGGCCTCTTCGTAGCCCGGCTTCCTCCAAGTCGGGCTCGGAAACAGCTGCCATTTTGCTGCCTCCCTCCCCCTCAGGGCCACCCTGCTCGCGGTCCGGCCGACTGTGAGCCCCGGCGGGCGGACGAGCAGCCCCGCGCCCGCCCCGCTCGCGGCCGGACAGCCGCTGAGCCCCAGGCCGGCCGGCAACGCTCCGCTCACCGAAGGGCGACGGCAGCGGCTCACACGGCAGAACAGCAGCTCCACTCCCGGCCTAGACGGAACTCGCTGCGCCACACCCGGCGCTTCCTTATATAGGTCATCGGCGACCGACGCCCCGCACAGATCCCTCCGCAGAAACGCCGAGAACGGACTACTTTTTTCCTCACCTTCCTGTCTCTCTAAAGAAAATTAATGCCAGGAGTCATCCAGTTGCCCTCCTAACATGTTCTCCTGCTGAGACTGGGGGTCGGGGGCTGAATCTGATGGGGACTGGGCCGCCGCCCCGAGAGGCCTGGCGGAGGGATCAGCGCGCTCGGTGCGCGCAGCGACTCCTGACGTGGCCGGCGCTTGCCCTGGGGGAGGGGAGCCGCCTGCGGGGAGGCGGGAAAACCCGGTGCGGATCATGCGGCGCCCGGAGCGGGCTGGCGGCTCGCGTGCCTCAGCCCCGGCCCTGGCGCCCCGGCCGCTCGGCCCCAACGGTCCCCGCCAGACGCGAGACCCGCCCTTGGCGGATGAGGGGCTCGGACCGAGCGCCGCCCGCGGGGTCTTGGTCCCGCACCCTCGCGCGCTCCCAGCGTGGCCCAGCCCTCGGGACTGACAGGGCTTTATTAGGGTCACGCTGAAGATAATGACGGTGTTTTTGTTTCGCCAGGTTCCCGTCCCGCCGCCCCCGGCCCGTGACGGGGGCTCCCCGGGACCCCAGGCCCCTGCTCGGGACGGCCCAGCCCATCCCCCGCCGAGCGGGCACCGGGACAGGGGCCGTGACTCGGCAGATCCGATCTGGGCGCCGGACGCAGGCCGAGGCCTCGGGCCCTGGGGACAAGCCCGTGGTCCCCAAACTAATGACGAAAGATAACTTTCCCGCGGGGAAACGACTCTGGTGTGTTCAGGTGGAATTTGAGACAGAAAGGTGGGAAACCATACATTTTAAAATTGCTGCAGCTGCAACCTGAAGGCTGCCCAAACTAGATTTTTCTAGGCTGTTCTCCAGCCTTCCTGGGTATTCCGGACGGCTTTGGGGGTGACGAGGTCCCACCAGGTGTCTGTCAACAAGGAGGCATTGAAATTTCAGTTGTGTTCATGTTTAATATACTCAGAAATTGAACCCACTGAGGCCTGAGATTTTAAAAGACACGAATGTCAGCCCTGTGTATTTCTGCGGGGAAAAAATCTAAATATGTCAAATATGAAATGTAATTGTACAGGCAAATTCCATTTTGATAAAAGAGAGAGGAGAAAAAGCCTCACCAGCCAGATTTTTTATTTTTACCACAACCTATTTTGTGATCCGTGTGTGTCATTTCGTCAGCATATTTTTTAAGTGTTTTAAAATATAGGAACGTGGTGAAATTTTAAAGCAGGTTTTAAAAAGTTTACAGTGAAATGTCTCCCTCATGCCCTCAATTTTCCAGCCAACGTTCCTTCTGGACTCTTCTAGAACAACTCTGTTTCTACAAATGTGGGGGTGGAGATTATTTTGATTTCTATCCTTAAAGCCTTAAAAAAAAAAGGGGGAGGGCTACTGAAAAATGTGCCATTAGGAAAAGGCTACATTCTTTTAAATTATGAACATTATATTATTTAAACATTGCACTTAAAATATGAATCAAACCTACATATTTTCTAATGTAACGTATTTTTGTATCTATTTATGAAAATACAAGGTCTGAGCCTTTTTCAAAATAGACTTTAACCTCTGTAATTTTTTAACATTTTCCAAAGAGAATGAAGTCATGTGTTAACTGGGAAATGAATAATAAAAGACACAAATTGAATCTAAGCCCTGTATATTTCTGGGGAAAAAAATTTAAAGTCAAATATGAAATGTATTTCTACAGGCAAATTCCATTTTGATAAAAGAGGAGGAAAAAAGGCTCACCAGCCAATTTGTTTATTTTTACCCCAACCTAATTATATAAAATGTCATTTTCCAGGATTAGCAGGAGACCCCAGTGATTTCCAAAACAGATTTCTGCAAAGGTTATTTGTACATTTCAGGAAGGAGTTTTTGAAGGAACAAAAAGCCAAGGTTCTTTCTAAGGTGACCAGGCCTGGCTTCGAACCACACCCTGTTTTTGACTGCTGCTTTGCTGCAAGCCTTGTGATTCATGTTGTTTAAAGGCTGAGTCACCAGCTTTGTGACATGACTTTTTTCAAAGTCTAAAAGGTACAGAGAAAAACAGCCCTGATTACAGGGGCAGGGGAGGGAGGAGAGGAGGAGGAAGGAGGA